GGCCGGGCCCATAACCGGTTTCGTAACCGGTTCCGGTCCAAGATTTTCTAAAAAACAATAACCGGTTCGTAACAGCCGGTCCATAACCGGTTACCACCGGTCCCGGTCGGTTACGGTCTTGAGCCGGGCTCGGTTCCGGGCCTCCGTCAGTTACGGGCCGGGCCGGTTACGTTTGGCCATCTCTAATTGGTATAGTGTTTCATAAATGTGTTTCCAAATCATGCATACCAACTGTTCGATAAAATGTGTCACATACATTGAATATGTATTTCTTGGAATCAACTGTCCGGTATAGTGTTTCATAAATGTGTTTCCAAATCATGCATACCAACTGTTCGATGAAATGGGTCACATATATTGAATATGTATTTCTTGGAATCAACTGTCCGTATACCCATTGTTGGATACTTGGATGCATGTGTTCATTTAGAGTTGTGTTTCATGAAACAATCTTTAATTTTTAAAATGCACAACTGTTTGATGAAACATGCATCCACCAAATAGTTTAAGTTGTTTCTTTAAGTGACAGATTCATGATTGTAAAATTAGTTTTTTTTTTCTTCATGAATCAGTAGTTTAAATTGTTTAATAAAACAGTATTCAATCTCACAAACGCACAGTGTTTCATGATACTTGCATCATAATGTAAAATAGAATGTTGTTTTTCCAATAAACCCGTGTTTCATAAGATATACGGTTCAAGCATGGTTCAATTTCAAATCCATGAAACACTTTAGAAACAGGATCATGAAAGCATATTCATGAACGACTCTCGGTCCTTGCCTTCGCTCTTTTCTTCATCATTAACAGATCGTTTAGAGCCACTACACAAAGCAAAACCCGCCATTGAATCCATCAAAAACTGTTCAGTTACAAAAGCATCGCTAATGTAGATTTCACCAAGCGAATCCGATGCGTCCATTCAAACTATTAGACAGTCACGGTGGCAAAAACCCTACTAACTAGAAACCAAGACTACAAAAGTGATGAAAGATAAAATATGTCAGAGTGATGAAGACGAAAAAATGAATGAATGATTTGAAGATCAAGATTGAAAACAAAACAATTAAATTGATGATAAAACATATAAAAACACAACGTAAGGTAATGTGACTTGATAGTTTACCAGTAAGCGCTTACCATAGTAAGAATCGTCGCCCTCACTTACCGGGTAAAAGTCTCAGTCCTTGTCTCACCCTTACCGGGTAAGATTTTTGATCGTTACCATATTCATACAGTAAGGTAATATGACTTGATAAACGTTTACATGGATAAACGTTTGGTAAACGGCCCCTTAGTCCATATATTTTTAGCTTAAATTGAATTATTTGAGTGGTATATTCTTGACACGTGCTTGAATTCGATATAACGCAATTTATTATCTTGACCACTGACTCCATGAAAAGATCGGCACTAAACCTTGTTGCGTGTTTAACGACAAGGGCAACAATTATCGTACCATGGTACCGACTTATTTAATTATTTATTAGTTTTTATATTATATATATATATATATATATATTGAATATTAATTAACGTAACTTTAACTTTTTTATTCGAGCATCTGAAGGCTGCAAGTTTTATTCCTTGTAAAATACCCTTAAACATGACATATGTTATCAGCAAACTCAAAATGACACTTGAAATTTGAACAAAACTGCAAGCACAAGCTATCATATATGTAACTTGAAATTGGTACAAAATCAATACCAACATGTATCAACCGAAAAAAGATGATACCAATTAAGTTTGTACCGGATACGATTGACTAGTATATGGTATAAAACTTTGCTAACTAGGTGTCGTTTACCCAATTAAGTGCTTACAAAGTCACATTACTTTGCCGGATGAATATGATAAGGACTAAGGTCTTGTTTGTTTTTTCATTTTCAGCTCTTAATTACCACTTATATCTGATTCATTCAGACGTTTTGTAATTAAGACTGTTTGTTTTTATTATTATTTTCAGAGCCTCTTATCACTTAATAAGGTCTGAATAAATAAGAGGTAAACTAATATCTTAATTCCTCTGAAACCTTTTTTTTATTATCTTCGGCTATTGCTCTTTCTCCACCAGGGACGCCACCATCATTTCATCACTCATGTGAAATGCACACCCCCACCTTCTCTCTCTAGATCTCTCTCTCTCTCTCTCTCTCTCTCTATATATATATATATATATGTGTGTGTGTGTGTGTGTGCGTGTGTATATTTTTTGTACGTATAGGTTAGCTTAGAAGATTAATATGAAACAATAAATTCTATCGACAATATATCCTCTAACAAAAGTATCGATTTTTTCACAAACAAACTCACCGGCGGCATTCCTGATAATGTCGAAAGTCTGAAAGGTATCCAAAAGGTTTTAACTGTTTCCATTTGTTAAACAATTGTTGAGATGAGTTTCGGCAATGAGAATTTTATGAAAATTAAGAGAATTTTGCAAAATGTTTCCACTTGATTTTATGAAAACAAACTATTGATTCAGATTTAAGACTTCAGACGTTTGTCAATTTACAAAAACAAACAGTCTTATAGATTCATATTTCAGACTTCAGCACTACCTCTTATTAATCAGAAGTGAAATAAGACTTCAGATTTCAGCTCATCTTAAAAAACAAATGCCACCTAAGAATCTTACTCGGTAAGAGCGAAGACAAGAATCGAGAGTCTTACCAGATAAGTGAGAGCGACGACTCTTACCATGGTTAGTGCTTACTGGGATAAATTGTTGCATACGATGCGTTTTGGTGAATAAAATCTTACCCGGTAAATAAGCGATACTGTTGAATTTTACAGGTAAGCGTTTACCGGGTAAGTGTTTAGGTAAACGACCCCTAATTGGTTTGTACACAGTATTGGATAAAAAACTTGATACCATACCAAATCTACCCCTTAAAAAATTGATTGGTTACTTTTTCTCAAAAAAATAATTATTCAAATATTAACCCAGAATAATTCATAAAATGAGGCCCAATAACGTTCAGAACTTGTACATATGGCTCAGATACTGTTGGCCCAACCAAATTCCCAATGACCCGACCCGCCCACCAACCCGACCCAACTTGCGTTCTTGTCTATCTGGAATAGGATATAAATTTGCATCAAAATCTCGCATTCGACCGTCTTCCTCCAGTAACCACACCGGCGCCACCGTATTCCTAATTGATTTCCGATGACGGCCGAAGTTGCCAACGGCGTCTTAGGGACTCCGTCCTTTAACCCTAACGGCGGTGTGAACCATCAGACCAATATGAATCAGGCGTCGAAGAAATCACGAGAAACCGACCGCCGTCGGAGGCGGCGGAAACAGAAGAAAAACAAGTCCGCAGTAGGAGAAGATACCAACACTGATGCTTCTGTTACCGGAGATGATAATGCAAAAGAGAACTCCGATCCTCAGAAGGTATTGGCTCGTTCCATTTCCGTCTTAGGGTTTGGTAACTTGTTTTCTTGTTCTAATTATTTCTATTGTTTAAAAATTTGGTCGGTTTTCTTATGCTTGGACCTGTTATGAATTCGGGTTTTAAGTTCATTATTGCGATATATTTACCACTGCATTTTGGGAATTACTAGATATCTTGATTGGTTTCCAATGACTGCACTTAGTATCAATGTGTACTAGCTGTTTGGGACTTAGAGTTTGTAAACTTGAATTAGGATTGTAGTTACTGTTTTCCAAAATCCGAATTATGCTATGCATTTATTGGATCAGTGAAATCTGGGCCAAAACAGTTGGGTGCAAAACCTTGAAGTAACTCTTGTCACAAGATGGCACTTGATAAAAATAATATGTACGTGGTTCTAGATTTTAATAATGTCTGATACATATATCCAGTCTTTTGGAAGGTATGTGAAACTCATTGAGCTCGAGCTGCTCTTTGAAGTGGTCTGAGCAAGTTTAGGTTTGAATTAAGCTTGATGGTAATATACAAACTGATATTTTGGATTTTGTAATTTGCATTCGAACAAAGAGGCAGTCAATTTATTAGCAATTTATTAGAGTCAATTTCAATAACTATGCTCTGTATATGATGGTCATGAGATAAACTTGTTTAGATTTGGCTTGGGGTTTATTTATTTCATAACATTGTATCACAAATCCCCCTTACCAAGTATACGTGCTGCTACCATGTATACACTTTTATAAATCAATATATGCATGCCTAATTTATGTGGAAACTCGTATGTTGTGTGCCGGTTGGTCTGTTTCAACCAAAGTAAATGATACATTACTCTTAATGGAATCATGAGTTGTTTGACTATGGGCATAATATCAAGGAATTAAGGAATTGTTTGCAATTACAGATTATTCAGTTGACTATGGGCATAATATCAAGGAATCAAGGACACTCCTTCGTGGGGGTTTTGTCTTGTAGTCAATGTATTAGTTTTTGGTGGTTTTCAAGTAATGGAAGGAGGTGTCATAGAAGTACTCCATGGATTAAAAATTGTTTGCAATTATAGATTAGTCAGTTGACTAATAAAATATTTTGGCAGATGGAACCTATCGTTTATCTTGCAAAAATCAAACAAGGAAATTCATCTATGTTGGGGCCTGGGGAAGTAAGAAGAGCTATATATATATATATATATATATATATATATATATATATGTTCTTTTGGCCTATGACAAAGTAAATGACATACTTTCCAAATTAGAAAAATCATTAACGCTGAAAGTCTTATTTGCTATGGAGTTGACTACGGAAAAAATATCCTTATTGTGTGTCATTAGTTGTCAGTCTTTCAAATTAATGTATATCATCTTATGTCCGTATCTGCTAAAAGCTGGTAACCGAATTTCTTGGAAGAGTATCCAAGAAATTGTCAAATGCCATTTATCTTTTGGATGGAGTGAACATGATGAATTACTTAAACTAAATGTAGATCCATTGTAGCAAATATTGATTGTATAAATCTTATTTAGGCTCATTTTCAACCTCTCTTTAAGTTTTATGAGTTTAAGCTCTGGTTTGAGCTTGTTTCAGACCTGTTTTTATTGCATTAATGGTTCTTAGATTCATATTTGCACACAGTTAATTTCGGAAGTGCTAACCAATATTATCCTGAGATTATGAACTTGGAAAGGGATTTTGGCCATCCAAATTGGAGCTTGAGCAAAAGGAGAACTCTACTTTATATGATAGCTAGGAAACAGGGGAATGGCTCCCACGCCATGAACTCTAATATTATGTACTTCCGGTTCTGTGCTTTGAAAGTACCGAGCTGTTGCTATAGGTAAGGAGGATGTGGGATGGGAAGTTCAGGTTCATAAAAGAAGGGAAGGGTTGAAAATTTATGAATTAGAAATTCACAAATTGGAATGAAAGAGATGAAAGTTAGCAAATTTAAATTTTAATCAAGGCTAAAGTAAATTCATTAGTATTATCCCTTCGTTCAACACAAGAGTGGTAGGAGGCAAAGGAACAACTAAGTTCATTTTATGACTGTTGGGCATGATGAGGATGTTCATGCACTAGACTAGATTTGTTATTGTATTTTTTAAGTTTCTATCCAATGTCTTTCGGCATTGTTTTTTTTGTGATCAAACTATGCGGATGTTTTGTTCTTTTTATTGATTTAGTACTTCTGTTTTTATTTAAGTTTTCCATCTAATCCTCACACACCCATATTACCTTATTTTTTAAGTTGTCAAATATTGTTGTCTATGTATCATGCACCAGTAAACCTGCAACATTGGGTGATTGTCTTATCTTCATAGCTTAGCTTTACTTGCATGTACAGAGGCTGATACTTCCATGATGTTTGTTACTTCATGAATAAGAGGGATGTTGGTTCTTACTTATTTGCTGTTATTCCTTTGTAAAAAACCGAACTAAACCAAATAAGCCCTGTAAATCCCATATAGAGCAGATGGTAAGATGTACGCAAACCTTACCTCTACTTCTTGACTGTTATTTTCATGATAGTAAAGTGCTTATAGAGTAGTACCTGCTTAGGATTACAAGTTGGTTGTTTAGCATAAACTTCGAGTGGTTTTTTTTTTTTTTTTGATCAACCTGGATATCCAACCCGCTATGCGAGCCGACTAATCCCAGGGCGACCACCTGCTTTGCGGATAGCCCGGAGTCATCGCATTTGAACCTCTGTGGCCACAAGGAAATTTTTATTCCTCCTTGGATTTGAACCTGGAACCTCTAGACACTTTTGATCTTTGGAGCCCAAGCTCAAACCAGTCAGGCACCACCCTTGTGGTTAACTTTGAGTGGTTCTTTGGTTAATGCTAATTTAGACGAGGCTTATATTGATATCATTTGTTCATCTGAAGTCACCTTGCATGGATGCTAAACCCTTTATTGACTTATTATTCTTGACCCTTGCTTTTTATATAAGGTTGTGGAGCAAGTTGAAGTTGAGTACATTCCAGAAAAAGCAGAACTTGATGGTTACTTAGACGATGAATTCAGAAAGGTCTTCGAGAAATTTACTTTTAAGGAAACGGCTCCCTCCGAGGTAAAAAGGGGTCCTATCTTTTGTTCACGTTTTGATATTGTAATGATTGTATTCATGTTATTTGGACCCCATCCATTGATTTTTTGATATAATTGATTCAGGAAAACGACAAGAATGAAGAGACTGCTGCCAATGCAGCATCAAACAAGAAAGCTAGTTCTGATTCAGAGGAAGAAGAACAAGATGCCCAACAAAAGGATAAAGGTGGCGTCTCTAATAAAAAGAAAAAGGTTATACATTGTGGTGTTTATTATCTTTGGTTGGATATTTTTGTCATATTTTAATTAATTCATTAGCTTGATGCTAATTTATTACCTCGGGGTACATCCTTGTCCAGCTTCAACGGCGGATGAAGATTGCTGAACTGAAGCAGATCAGTACAAGGCCAGATGTAGTTGAGGTGGGGATCAATCTAGTTTTCTATGTTTCAGCACCTTGTCTTGTTTCGTTGAGATTTTCATATCCTTTGCGTCGGCCATGGTTGTTTGCCATTTTATAAAAAATTATTGCGCAATTTAGTATTTTCTCGCCTTTAGGGTGGATACATGTTGCTTGTCAGTGAAGCACCTTCTGCATTCTGAATTGTTTTCACTTGCGAGCATTGAACTTGGAAAAACTTCTTCTCTGTGTTTGATGCTACCAAACCCGATATGATATTTTTTTAACATGTACTTCAACACTTGATAGTCCAATCATGAATAATTTGGTAATCACATCTCTTGTTGTATTCAACTATTTTTAATGCATTAGTGTGTTGCTGTTACGCATATCATTCTTGTTATCTGCTGCTTCGTACTAACATCATTGTCTAATAACTTGTTATGAGTGTCAGGTGTGGGATGCTACCTCAGCTGATCCAAAGTTGCTGGTTTTTCTCAAATCATATCGCAATACTGTTCCTGTGCCAAGGCATTGGTGTCAGAAAAGGAAATTTTTGCAGGTGTGTCACCATCTAAGAAATAATTGCTGTGGTCAGAATAAGTTGCATTGATAGGTGTATATATCTTGTTTCATATGAGAGCAAATGCTTTTACTCAATAAGGGTTTAGGGAGGTGGGTGATGAAAGATAAGTTGATGAGGTTTGTCTTATATGTATATATGTGGTTATTGCAGGGGAGCGGCTGTGACAATCTTGGAGCCTGGACATGTAGGTGTTTTGCAAAGGGAACCATTAAATGGTTTCTCTTTTAATACACGGGCTTTTGTGGGTTGGGACTTAGTCACTTGCATGATGCCATATAATGATAAATAATAATCGTCTGGGATACTTATCTTTGCATTCTAGATGTTTTAAACTCTTGTAGTGTGTGCATGCTGGATTCTGATTAATTTGCTTTGGATTTCAGATCTTTATGCACTGAGCAGTGCGCTAGCGTAGTATAGTTCTTTAACAATGTCTGAGCTGTTTTTGATTCTGAGTGTCCGGGACATTCACAAATGTTCTACTTCAGGTCTTTATTGTCTTGTTCTACTGATTCATATGGATCTCATCATATTTTGAATCGTGTGGCAGGGGAAGCGGGGTATCGAGAAGCAACCGTTTCAACTTCCTGACTTTATTGCAGCTACAGGGATTGAGAAAATTAGACAAGTAAGATCTTTCGACTCCTGCCTTGTTTAGCAAGAATGGGTTTTTTAAGTTACATATTCCTCTTCTGTTAAATGCATTTGTGTTCTCTTCCTCTCGGAGTAGAGTTTAGAGAAGTTAGTTGAACTTGTTAAAAATGTTTTGACATTTTAGCTTTGAAAGTTGGATGCTTGTTTCTTGTACTGCTGCAATAGCATCTATTCTATATCAGCAAAAGCAGCTGAAGTGGGCTATAGATACAAAGGTGCTGGCATAAATTGCATTCAGGTGAATGCAGAAACACGAATAGCATTACTCTTATCTAACACCATATTGGGAGGAAAAGAGCAGGTGGAAAGCATGAGTTGTGAAAGAAAAGAAACTAATTAAAGGAGTTTAAACTATCTTCTCCCTCCTTTTGTCAGTTCAGGAAAAGCTTTCCTGTTCATTGAACATGTTTTCTGTTTTCCTTATTGAGAGATGTTAACAAGATGTTTCTTTCTGAGAATAACTTTTTGAATTCATTGTGATGTCAAAAGTGAACTGTACAAATAGTAGAGAAGGAAAACGAAGTCGCGTTTTCTTTCCTCTTCTATGTATGTAGTGGAGAAAAGAACAAAATTTTTGGGATTGCAGATTGACTCTTGCTTTATGGAAGACGTCTTCTTGAATTGCAGGAAGATATCTTTTATTTATTTTCTGTTCTTTCATTTTCTTCTCAATCTGAGATGACGATTTTTTAAAGAACATAGGCCTTAAATTTCTCTCATCTCATTTTTGTTTCTCTCATTAAACTTGCAAACCAGGAAACAATTTTCTTCTTCATCCATTGCCTTTTCATTTTCTTGGAGAGTTCACAAGTAAGGTATAGAAGCAAATATCGTGGTGTATCCTATTCGTTGCCTTTTCAAGTATTTCCATCCATTTTAATCTCAGTCTAGCTATATCTCTCATTATGCCGCATCTTGGTAAATGCACACAGTGAGGGTAGGAATATTTCAAGAGGTTTCCCTTTTTCCTCTGATAGTGGTGTCTTCTCTATTTTCTCCCACAAATCTTTTACCTTTTGGCCTGTGGTCAGCCATCAGTAATCTACTTTAAACATTAGTATGTCCACTTCACTAGTGTGTATAAGCCATATATTGGCAGGTTAGGACGTTAGTTTTTGTATATTTGGAACCATGGATTCGGTCTTGCATTAATTTTGAGGGTGAAACCTAATATTTTTTTTTGGTTTAGTAATTTGTACTGTGGTCTCTTTTGACAGGAAATGGTTAAATACATAAAACAGTGGTTCAATGCAGAGCTTTTCACCATAATGGAGCATAAAATCTGCTCATATATGCAGCCTAGCTTTGCAAGCAGAAAGGCTTTGTTCATAGTTCTAATATATAGATCAACTTTATTACTGCCTCAGGCAAATACACTACTTTCTACCAAAAATATAAGGATAAGCTGTAAGGATTCTTGTAAGCAAGGCAACTGAAGATAGATCATTGTTTCTTTCATCTGATGAACAGATTTTTGTATTTAAACATGTTCCTAACTGGAATTTATGTACTAACCATCCACGATGTATGATTGAAGAAAGTAGTAATAATATGTTTAGCTTTTTGMTTTTACTTTSAAATYGAGTTATGACATACTTTACAGRTSAGTTGAACCKTCTTCTTGCATMTGTTTTCAGGCTTACATTGAAAAGGAGGACAATAAGAAGCTTAAACAGAAGCAGCGTGAGAGGATGCAACCAAAAATGGGAAAGATGGATATTGATTATCAGGTTTGGTCACTTAAACTTATTGGAACTAAAAGTATTAGTTACTTGATCCTCTCTTTTTTATCCTTGGGCAAAGATGATTTTGGTATGCAAAATTTGCTGTTCTGTCCATGGGGTTAACTGTTATGACCATTTATGGTACAGGTACTTCATGATGCATTTTTCAAATACCAGACCAAGCCAAAGTTGACGTCACATGGTGACCTATATCATGAAGGAAAAGAGTTTGAGGTAATATGCCACTACCTTTTATTTTGAATAATCTGTGAACATGAGAAAATTAAAACTAAAAGATGATGCCAAGTGACTGAGTACTTGCTATGCAACATTCAACTATGCAGAAGAAAACACAATGGCTTGTCCTGATGTCTATTCTTTTTGCTTGCTTTATCATTGGGGTGTGGCTAGAAATTTTAATCCACTATGCTGTAGTTCATGAAAAGGTTGTATGTCATATGGCGTGACGCCCATAAATCTTTTTGCCGGAAATTGTATCATGTCGTAGGTGCTTGTTCTGTTTTGTAGTAATACCGTAACAATATCTCAGATTTTAGTACATCAATAATCATCACTGTTGGCTATGTTGGCTAAAGTAGGTATTAATAAATAGACCAACTCATGGTGACAGAGGATCAGATATTTAGGAGATCACATGCAAATGTAGTAGGATCATGGACCATTTTTGTTTCAAAGGTATATACATGAAGTTGGATGGTAATTAGATATGATGCACACTACAACCATGCTTATCAAGTTAAGCTCCAACTCAGATGAGTATTTTGTGGACCAAGTAGCATTCACTCTTGGACATCTAAAGAAACAGCATTGCTAGAGCTGTCTGGTCATAGGATTGAACCTGGTCTGAGTTCAGGTTTTGCAAATAGTAGTTTCTAGTGTGTACCAGAACATATATTGTTCTATGCTGTTAATAGCGGTGCAATAGCGCTGAAGTAGCGTTTCGCGGCCCTGGAAGAGATTGCAGTGGTTAAATAGCGGTCCTAAATAGCGGTGCCGAGAGGAACAAAAATCCTCTTGTGGCCACGGAGGTTCAAATGCGGTGACTCCGGGCTACCTGCAAAGCAGGTGGTTGCCTTGGGATTAGTCGGCTCGCATAGCGGGTTGGATATCCAGGTTAATAAAAAAAAACAGCATAGATTGTTGTTTTATGAAGCATATGTTTTTTTCAATCATATGAATTAAGAAATAATAGTTGAAGCCAGTACTGGTTGTACCTCTTCTAACCTTTACTTCTAGGTGTTTGTGGAATTCTATGAAAATGTTCCCTTTTTGGCACTTCAAGTGTTTACTTGGTTATACAGGTGAAGCTTAGAGAGATGAAGCCTGGAACCTTGTCACATGAATTAAAAGAAGCTTTAGGCATGCCAGACGGTGCCCCTCCCCCATGGCTTATTAACATGCAGGTAAGCTGCATGCACTTTGTGCTTTTTGTTTGTTCTTTATTTGCTGTACTTCAATCGTCTGCTGTACTTGTGGGCTTTTTTGGAAAGATATCCTTTATTCATTCATGCTCGTAGATTTAAAGGGTCATCACTGTATTTGATTCTTCCAAAGGATGATGAATTTCTTGGCATTTAAGTGTGAATATTATGTGCTGGTTCATTCTGCATTGATTTTTAGTTTTTATTTTTCTTCGGCATTTAATATTCACCTCTGTTAATCTATGGCTTTTCTCTTTAAATGTTTAATTCATTTATGCTTCTAGAATTAGCATGCATCCTTGTCTTGAGATCTTTCAGAAGGATAGTGAATTTGTTTGCTTCATGTGTCAAGTGTGTGGTTTTTTTATTCTGATTAATGGTAACCTTAATTTGCAGAGATACGGTCCTCCACCTTCTTATCCACATTTAAAAATTCCGGGTCTTAATGCTCCTATTCCACCTGGCGCTAGCTTTGGTTATCATCCTGGAGGTTGGGGCAAACCACCTGTTGATGAGGTAGGTAACTCAGTTTGGTAAGAGTGTTTTATCTTCATGATTTGTGCTAGCTTCTGAACTCATTTTTTACTTCTTTGTTGATGAAGTTCGGGCGTCCTGTCTACGGGGATGTTTTTGGACAACAAGAAGAGTTACCTAACTATGAGGTACTCACATTTTGATCTTTTTGTTGGAAAGTTGGGTTCCCACCTTCATTATGCCTGTATTGAAGCTTATTTCTGAAAGTACTATCACAATTTTATATAAATGTAATTCAGGTATTTAGAAGTTATAGTATTCTGTATTGAAGATCATTATCAAAATATAATTCAGGTATCTAGAAGTTATAGTTATAGATATAACGGAAACAACTGCTCTACTCTCCTGGGTGAAGGTTAGGTGTGCGTACATCCCACCCGTCCCAGACCCCACCTCCGTTTGGAACTTACTGGGCCTGTTTGATTTAGTTTATAATGTTATAAATGTCAGTTCTAAATATAGGTATTAAATTGTCCCTCTTGATATTGCAGTTTTGGATGGCTGCCTTTTTCAAATCTTGTTTCAGATAACTAACATTTGATTAGAATACTGAATCTCATGAGCAGAACTATTTCTGACAATGTATTACATGGGTTTTACTTCACATGATCTCATTATTCTCTCAAACTATACCTCAGGAAGAGCCAGTTGATAAGACCAAGCACTGGGGTGATTTAGAGGAAGAGGAGGAGGAGGAGGAGGAGGAAGAGGAAGTGGAAGAGCAATACGAAGAAGAGGACTTGGAGGATGGCATTCAATCAGTTGACAGCCTATCAAGGTATTGTACTTTACTTCTATCGTCCATAAATACCTCTCCAAAAGGGTCCAAGTAAATATAAAATAGGAAGTGCAAATTTGACTCGTCATCCACTCATTCCTTTGATAGTTGACAAACTTCACAACAATGACATTCACAAGCACAACATAGACCTACAAGTTCTAGTTATATTAGCTACTTGTTGGCATGCTTGTTATTCTTGAGATTTGGAAGCATGATATGTTTTGTTGTACAAAATTCCTTACTTCTTTTCCACTCCTCACTGTCCTCAGTACCCCCACTGGTGTTGAGACTCCAGATGTTATTGACCTTCGCAAGCAGCAGAGGAAAGAACCTGAAAAACCTTTGTACCAGGTGAGTGTTTCAGTTTTCAGGGTTCTCATCGTTGCTATATTATAAAATATTAGAATGCATTTAGTAAAACTTTTAGAAACAACTTATTAAGCATTATTAAAACATGATCTTTTAAAATTCTAATTTACAACTTATTACTGTATACATACGTTTTCTTAAAGCTTCGTGTTTGAACTCCAAAAAACTAAACTGATAAACACGTTCAAACACATGTAGTGTCGAGAGTCATACTATTTTGATGGAATTTGCCATAATTTTTTTTATAATGAGGAAGTACATCCATTTTTTGTTCTTGTTCAAAATAAAATTTTATATCCCCTTGAATTGCATGGGCACACAGCTAGTTATACACAAATACTGTGGTTTCAAACTGAAATCAACCTGCTCTTTAATTTTATTGCGTTGGTACAGGTGCTGGAAGAAAAAGAAGAGAAGATAGCTCCAGGAACATTGCTTGGAACAACACATACGTATGCACTTTACTTCTATGCCCAGAAATTTTTTCTTATCTGTTTTTCTTTTTACGCTAATTTTTGCATTAAACATCATTTCTTTCTGCTCGTAGCTATGTGATAGGTGGTGCCCCTCAGGACAAGCCATCTGGTAAAAGGGTAAGTGGACTTAAATTTCCCTTTCCATGGTCTTTTTGGGAAATGCTTTGCTTTTTAATTTCTCGTATTAGATTGTGAGGGCAGATCAAGGAAAGATGAATTATTGAATATGTTGACACGGCAAAATCTGTGGATCATTACAAATTTAGCTTCTTGAGCATTATTCCATAACAGTACTTATCTCCAGACTGCATAGGGTTTGATATGGTAGTAAAAAGCTGGATCTTGTAGAAAGTTGGTATATGACGATAGAGGTAGATATTTGGATGAAACAAAATATGTTAAATCTAAAATTGTTGTTCTTGCATCCTTTGTTATGAGATCTAGGGGTAGCTCAACTGTTAAGACATTTGAGTTTGCTGTCTGGTGGTCGCCAGTTTGAGTTTCCCGTCTGTTGGTTGCCAGTTTGAGTTCTCTCAGGGCCACTGGAGCTTCAGGGCCCCATGGAATTAGTCTCCGTGTGTGTAAGCTGACCCAAGACATCCATGGTTATTCAGAAGATCTAGGGTTTACACCCTGTGGCTATCATCTGGTAGCATGGACTGTCTGTGTAGAGTGGCTGTGCTTTCAAATTGCATTTTGTTCTCATGTCAGTTCTGTACTTGTGTTTGGTAATTCGGGTGTTGATGATTTTGGTAATTTTTTTGACAGGTTGATTTGCTTAGAGGTCAAAAAACAGATAAGGTTGACGTTTCGTTACAGCCCGAGGAGTTGGAGCTCATGGACAATGTCTTGCCTGCCAAGTGAGTATCGCTCCCCTCTTCCATATATTACATAGACACATCAATCTAGCATAAGACCAGAATCATTATGTATGTTTTTCTTGTGGTTGTCAGGTACGAGGAAGCCCGAGAGGAAGAAAAGCTTCGTAGTCAAAGGGAGGACTTCAGTGACATGGTTGCAGAGGTGCGTAATCCCTTGTATAATTTTTTCCGAGTCCATATCTGCTAGACTTGTATCATTTATCTCGATATATGTTGGAACATTCTTTTTCTCCACAAAGGGATATTTTAGAACGAGATTCAACGGGGTCCACATCTTCATATGGTATTACGTATTAGACCCAAAGTCTTTTAACACTTTAGAGATGCACAAATAGCCCGATCCCGATCAGGTCAACTTCTTTTTGAAGGCCCGGTTGGAGTCTGACCCAGAAAAGTCTATAACTGGGACCTCTTTCAACCATGAAGCTCCCCCTTGGTCTGAAAACCCCCAGGCCTTTTCATTGCTTACAAGGCCCGGGCCCAGTGTTTAGGGCCGAAAGAGCCCGAGCCTTGTGCATCCATACACGACACTGTGGAGCTCTGTTGGAGCCAGACATGTCTTATTTGATTCAGACGTATTCTTATTTGTTCGGGAATTGTGTGATCGTAAATACTTTTGCAGAACGAAAAGAAGAGAAAGCGGAAAATGCAAGAAAAGGACAGCAAGTCGAAGAAAAAGGATTTCAAGTTTTAAGTAGCATCATATGTTGGAATGTTGTAGTATAAGAAACATGGAACTTTTATGTAACATTTGTTTGATAATGCTCACTTTTAACGAAGGTGGATTAGATTGTTGATTTTGATGCCTATTTTTGCAGAAATGGTTGCATGTGCCTTTAAATACTATTCATCTTCACCACATAAACCAAACAAACCAATGAATCCCAATTGAAATAATAGTAAAATGTATGTGGGTATGTTCAGAACAGAACTGATCCAGTCGTCCATTGAATATTGAATTTTGCCAAACGATCCGATCCGATTAACATTGGGTAACGGATCCAATCCAATTCAATGGATGATTGGATCGATGCGGTTCCATCCATTGGATATCCAACGGATGATCCAGTGTGTTAATGTCTAAACTTTGACCCTTATTTCTTTCTTCGTGTTATATTGAAAAGGAGAGCAAAGCCCGTTTTTTCCTCCTTATATTGATGGATCAAGGACTCCAATAATGATACAAATTGATTAATCATTTTTAATATATGTTAAAACCAACACAGAGGAAGTTAAAAATTCAAAGGCTCACATAAAATAAGATTTTCGATTTAAGCAATTTGAAAATAAATTTCTTGGATGATAGTTGGATGAACAACTTGATGGTCATCGGATGATTAATTGGATGTTGATCGATTCGGTTCGGTTTTAGACTGCATCCGAGAACCGACCGTTCCAAATTGGATGTTGAAATTTTCAATCTGATCCGATGCAATTATGGTCGGTCGGTTCTAATTAAATCAGTTGGTTCCAATTGGAGGGGTTAATTTTATAAATACAGTATAATGAAAAAATTAACTGCTGGTGGAGGTTCGACAGTCCAAAAGCAAGGAGCAAATGTATATAGTAACCTAGGTTTTTTGGGTTTCTTTCGTTTCGTCTTTTTGAAAAAATGGGTAGGAATGAATTTTTATTCCATTGCAGATGAAATACGTAAAGGGTGGAATCTATAGAATTTTTCTTTGAGCGAGTGAAGTTTTTCCATCAATCGAGCCCAATGGTGATGGTAACCATCGAACCTTGGAATTGCTGGAACGACAAAGACCCTTGCACTGCTGCTATCTCCCATCGGAATTTCTTACTCTTAACCCTTTTGTTCGAAATCAGATCCCTTGTGAGAAGGCTCTGATACCAATTGTTGAAGTTGTTCTCAACAGTCCTCTCCTTCTCCGACTTCCTCTGGTTTCTCCGGCCAACATCATCTCCGCCCTCCTCCCCTCTCTCGGAGCACTACCATATCCAACCAGTTGAATATACGCAAATCCAAAACGAGAAATAGATCTAAATCTTGAATCGACATCTTCAACTTTCTAGCAATCTATTTTTAGATCTGTAAAAACACGGTTACAGGTGATGAAGAACTCATTTTCCACAATGATTCACACAACTTGTACACCTCGTCTTCCATAAAAAATCACATAGGTTCAATTATTTTTGGTCAAATCTATACGATCAGCTACGAAAATCCTCGAAAACCAGATGAAAACTACGATGGATTGGGGTGTTTTATGGATTTAACACTACGGTGGATGTAACCCTTCGAAAACGGTGTATATTTTCTGGATTTAACGAGTGTGTTTTTTGGATTTATTTTTCTGGATCGTTGCAGGGGGTTGACAGAAGGGAAGATGCAACAGGTCAAATGAGGAGGAAATGGTCAGGATAAGGTGGGAGCTCGTCTGAATCGGGTTATTTTGATGGTGAAAAGCTAGAAAAAACAAGTGAAATAAAATAAAACCGAGGGATTTTTCGTGAGATAAATGGTTTTTCGTGAGACCCGTAAAGTTAATTTATGTTCATTGATTAACTTTATAAACTAATGATCTAATGGTTTAAAGTTGCATGGTGACAATTTTGTGATTATGAATGTTCAGATTGTAGATCTAATACAAGGGTTGAGAATTGGTCTTACGAAAAACCCTTAGCCTCACATGATCTCAAGTTTATATATCTATATCTATGTATGTATATATATATATATATATATATATATATATATATATATATATATATATATATATATAT